TTTAACTTAAACACACGCTATAATTCATAATGATTCACGCATTTTACTTACGGTCACTACTGCGCTTGAATCAATTGTCTGTCTCTGCCTGTCTGCAATTAATTATCCGATTAATTCTCTTGCTTTACCTGGCTCGCTTATATACAGGAATAGAGGGCGTCTAGCAAATACTGAATTATTCGTGACTTCCGCTGTCGTAGCACTATCATGACGTTTCCTACACATGAATATACACTTCCAAGATTCAGGTGTTCCCCTAACAATTTGAAACACGAACCTTTTAATTTTACAAGGGAGGTCTTAGAAATGCCCACATCCAATAGAACAACTATCCCTCCAATTGAAGCCAACACTCCAGGAATTACTACTTCCACTTCTAATAATTCAAAAATTTATGAAATCATCCAGGTTTTCATAATTTCTAGTGATTTTGAACTCTCGCCCAGTGAACTGAATACCCTAAATAAAGGACTTAAGTTTGTCCCTATCAAAAGTAGCATCGACACCTTTTGTGCAATAGAAGACATCGAAGTTTTTTTCGCAAGCTTAGAACCGAAAACCCATTTTTCCAAAATCTCGAAAACATATTATTCTAAAATTACCCATCCCTGTGACCCCTTCTCTATAATTTCTCCTAAACACTTCTCGTGGACGCTACCTTCCACTTGATTACTTCATTCGTAAGTGTAGAAATGAATTCAATAAATTTAATTTAAACGTGAAGACTAAATATAAAAATGTCTCTCACGACGAACATATCATTTTAAATAGTTTGTAAGAGAGAGACAACATTGTTATAAAACCAACAGACAAAGGTGGGGCCATCGTAGTTTGGCGGAAGGATTTATATATAACTGAAGCTTTGAGACAACTTAATAACAGTACTTTCTGCACTCCTCTTCAGTAAAACCCGATTACTGACTTCAACAACCTAATAACATCAACAATTGAAAAAATGATCGATGCTGACGAATTACCCAATACAACCAAGAATCTCATCGTAAATGAACTTAGAACTCCCACTTTCTATCTTCTCCTTAAAATTCACACGGAAGGATACCTGTTGTTTCCGCATGTAGTTGTTCTACAGAGCAATTTTCTAGTTACCATGATGAAGTTTTATCATTATGAACTTACCAACACACATAAAGGACACCACTCATGTGATTACTTTAATCAAGAACACATTTAACTGGAAAGGAACACTACATCTTCACCATGGATATGAAATCATTGTACACAGTAAGTGGGTTACAGAGTAAGTGTTTAATTGCTCTAAAATACTTCTTATACCAAAAACCCATACTGGACTCTCCAACACATATCTCTACGTTTATCCGAACTTGTATTCAGACTTAACACCTTTACTTTTAATGGTAACTATTATAAACATATCTGAGAGGTCGCTATGGGAACTAAAATGGGCTCCACCTTTGCCAACTTCTTTGTTGGATACATCGAAATTCATATGTTTAATCAATACAATGGATCAGTACCCATAATGTTACGACACTACATTGATGACACACTAGGGATTGCATGTCTGCCAAAATCAAATTTAGAAACTTTTCTACACTTTCTTTCCTCTTTCCACTCTTCTTTAGAATTTACTTGGGAAATATCCGACTCAACACTCCCCTTTCTCATCATTAGGATATACAAAGAAGGCGACCATCTGATCACTAGTATACATTACAAAGAAACACATTCACTTATGTACCTACATTTCGAATCTTCCCACCCGTACACTAAAAAAAAGTCAATACCATACTCACAATTTCTACAACTATGCAAAATAGGTAGTAATAATAATGATTATAAATTCAAACCAAAGACATGAAAACTTTCATTTCTAAAAGACACTTACCCTGATTCTCTCATCCACGATGCAGCTACCATAGCTAGCTCATGTATCCAGAAGCACTCAACATGTATCCACTCAACCCTATCAAGAAAGAACACACTGATCGTATTCCTCTTGTGCTAACATACCATCCAACCAATAAGAAGATCAAAGATATTATACTAAACAATTAAACAATACTTACTGAATACCCTACCACTAACTCTATTTTCAATGCCCATTATTTTTTACAGACATGACAAAAACCTAAAAAAAATCCTGGTTTGTCTGACTGTAGATTAAAACACCATGTAAAGTGTAAACCATGGTATATTCTCAGACCCCTATGTACCCCCTGAGAAGTGCAAATGTACCCCTGGGGGTACATTGGTGATGTCTGATATAAACCATATTGTTACGGATCTGCTTGTTTGTTAATTTCCGGTACAAATTCTTTCCGAGGAACTTCAGCTATACAAGTTCCTTCTTGATTAAAACTAGTTTATTCTTTCTCGATACAAATTTAGAAATACACAGAATTTCCCCAGTCACTTTAAATTTAACAACTTTTATAATACACGCTGTAATCACAGTGATTCACAAGCTCGATAACGTCACTCTATGCATCTGCAAAACACACACAATTTACGGCTCACCGTCACTACTGTTCGGTTGACTCAATTTTTATTTATCTCCCCAATCAATCCCGCTGATTTTTCTCGCCAGCCTTATATAATAAAAAGAAGGCGTCTAGAATGCACTCGGGCCTTCATGATCATTGGAGAAATTTCACGCAAGCTACCAGCGCCAAACACACCAGCAGCGTCACGTGACTTCCGCTGTCATAACAATATTAAACTAGGAAACCAAGATACACCTATAAACAAACATTTCACCATCAACAACCATGCGGTTGAGGATTTTCTATTCTGGGACTTATTAGAGTTCCAACAGACATTCACAAAAGAGAACGACAGGAAAAATAGATTAATTTGCAATCTGGGAGCCCTACAGTCATCTGGCTTAAATGAAGTTTTTCTTTCCTATAGATTCTAATTTTGTTCATAATTTCTTTAGTTTTAATTTCAATCTGATTTATGTTTTCTTGGAACAAAGATGAATTGAATTATGTTTTTTTATGTCCTTTCAGACTGCCAATTATGTGACCTAAAATAATTAAGGTGTGAATGCCACCACTTGTGCCAAAATTATTATTCCATATTATATAGTGGACCAACTATTTAATGATATTGTTACGTCTCCGTTTGTTAATTGATTTTTCCGTAACTTCGTTCCAACGAAACTTTAACGACACAAGTCT